TAAAATATGATTTTTCAAAAATTCAAATTCTTGGTCAAAATCAAAGTCAACGGGTTTGACTGATGATTTGGAGGCTTTCGGGTTCGAATTTGGCGAACTGGATTCGGCACGTCGAAAAATGTCAGAATAGGTATACTCGAACAAAATCAAAGGTCGTTTAATGACCGTTTAAAGCCGGTCAAAGTTATGGTCAAAGGGGTTCAATAGTCCACATTCAAAATTTCCCAAAATGTCACATTTTTCAAAATAATTCCCAGAATGTCAACTTTTTCAAAATAATTCCCAAAATGTCACATTTTCTAAAATAATTCCTAGAATGTCACTTTTTTCAAAATAATTCCCAAAATGTCACCTTTTTCAAAATAATTCCCACCGTTCGCATCTTTCCCCACGCGCAGGGGGCGCGTGGGGGCGCATTAGACCTCCTCCGGTCTCCAAAAATTCCTGCAAAATTTTCCAAAAATTATTTTAAGCGATTTTGAGTCACTTACCAACCTCGGTTCAAATTTTTGAACGGTGGAGAGCTCGATTTCAACTCGGTCGAATCTTTGACCGCTCTATCTCCCACACGCGCCGCCGCCTACGGAGACATGGACGACACCGTCGGACTTGGAATGACACCAGGAACACGATGGTGCGGGATGTGTCAAAAATTGATCAACGATCGGAGATGAATTTAAGATTTTCCCGACGGTGGTGCTAAAAAAACATCGAGCCTTTGACTCAAAATTCACGTCGCTTGGCAGTGTTTCGCTATAATTGGTTTACTGGGTTTTGATCACGAGTCGAAGATGAACACGATGGTGGTTTTAATTTGACGATCGGAGGTCGGACGGCGTCAGAATCTAGCTTTGAAGTAGAGAGCGGGAGGAGGAATTTCACAATTGTTTTCTATTTTGAAAATAGAAAACCATTCATACGTATATATTAAATTTCCTGCCGACACTAAAAGGAGTAATTCAGGGCTTGGTCCCTTAATTTCCTTCACTTCTAATAAGGCCTACAAAATTTTAAAAGTTTTAATTTAGTCACCAAATTTCGCCCAATTACTAATTAATTAATTTTTTTTCTTTACAATTTCTGGGTTGTTACATGCAAAGCAAAACAACTCAAGCTCTCAAGGGTTGATGGAAACAAAGTAATAATGACTAGTGAGAATTCATGGGTGTTGTTCAAGGATTATTTCGACCATAAATGCTTAGAGAATGATTGATTGGGGTTCTGAAGACTTCTTGGCTCACGTGGTTAACACTAGAATATCAGTTTCGATGCTCATGGATATTCATACTATATGAGAATTTCTTAATGTATTCTTGGAAGAAATACTCGGATTATGTCCAGACTGAGAGTTACAGTTTGGGATTGAAATGTTACCAGGATTAGGTTCAATATCCATTATTTTATACCATATGGCACCGACAGAGATAAAAGACTTAATGACTGAAATTCAAGAGTTTTTAGTGAAGGGTTTCATCTGACTAAACATTTCTTTATGAAGAACGTCTCAAAAATACTCCGAAGGTATTCACGGACTTTATGAATCGATTTTTTCAACTATACGTAGACCAATTTATGGTGATGTTCATCGATGACATCCTCGTGTACTCGTGATTGAAGGAAGATCACAACCAACAACTTTGTATTATATTGCAAATGCTTCGGGAGCGATAATTGTTTACCAAGTTTGGGAAGTATGAGTTCTACTTGTTAGATGTTTCATTTTTTTTGTCACTCGTAGTAGCAGTCTGTATTCGACTAACCCTCAAAATATTCAAGCAATGGTTCAGTGGGAACATCCAAAAAGATGATAGAACTTTATAGTTTCTTTGATCTTGCCATGTATTATCATTGATTCGTTAAAATTTTTTTGATGATAGTTCCCCTATGACTAAATTACTTCATAATGGAGTTTCCTTCACGTGGGACGAGAAATGAAAGAAAAGCTTCAATAGTTAAAGGTTATATTAACTGAGGCCCCTATTTTGACTCAACTAGAGCCAGAAAAACATTTCACCATATATAGTGATGTATTATTAAATGAGTTTGGATGTGTTCTAATGCAAGAGGGGAAAGTTGTGGCTTATGTGTCTTGTCAGCTCAAGCCATATGAATGTAACTACCCTACCTATGACTTAGATCTTGTTGTGATAGTCTTCACATTAAAGATTTAGAGGCACTATTTGTTCGAGAAAAAGTGCCACATTTTTACTGATCACAAAAGCTTTCAGTATCTACTCACATAGATAGAGTTCAACTTATGACAACTTAGATGGGTTGAGTTTCTAAAAGACTATGATTGTGTGAAGGACTACCACTTGAGGAAGTCAAATGTAGTTACAAATGCCTTGAGCAAAAAATCGATAATAGAATTGCAAGCTTTATTGTCTTGCCTGAGTTTGACTAGTGATGGTAGATTATTAGTTGAGCTACAAATTGAGCCCGAATTAGTAGGCGAAGTTAAGAGGTTGTAGAGTTCTAAAACCCGTTTAAGGGTTTAGGTAAAGCAAGTCTGTCCAGGTGAGGCACTAGGTTTTAAGTTATGATATGGGGATGTGTTATTCATTAGGGTCGATTGTGTGTACTCGTCGAGGAGTAGTTGCGTAGTAAGATTTTGCATAAGGCTCATTCCAGTTCATTCTCGTTTCATCCATTCAGTAGCAAGATGTACTAAAAGATCTACCATTTGTATTGGTGGCTAGACATAAAATGGGAAGTATTTGAGCTTGTCTCTAGGTGTTTAGTGTATCACCAAGTTAAGGTGGAACATTATGTTCATTCACGGTTACTCTAGCAAGAAGATTATGTTTGGTTGAGTTGTGGCCATCTTCTAGTATCTTAGGACTAAGTTAACACATCCCTAACTCCTTTATACCACTTATGAGTTTTTGGATGTGCTTGTTTGGCTTGTATGAGTTAATAAACATGTAAGTGCGTTCATAGTAGATAATGGTTTATGACGTTATACAATATGAAAAATGACTTATTATGACCCGTTTCAGCTTACATAAGACTTAAATAAAGTTTAAGGGATTTAAAGAGGCTTAAGAGTAAAGTTGGTGTCATTTTCATATAAAAACACAGTATTTCTAAGCTTTGGTATATGTACTAGATAAACAATATTGATATAGTTATTCAGATAGCCAACATAATGAGCTTTTGGTTGGGTAGATTGATACCCTGTTCATAGGGTATCAATATTGTTCTTCGAGTATCGATACCCAAGGGTGGGGTATCAATACCCGCATTAAGTTTTAAATTTTAGTAGCCAAATTTGGTATCAATACTCAAGAAGTATCGATACTTCACAAAATACAAGTATCAATACTCTAAGGGTATCAATACTAAGTTATTTTCACAAATATCGAACTTAATTTGGTATCGATACCTAGGATGGTATCAATACCCTAATATAGAAGTATCAATACTCGACATGAGGTATTGATACTATAAGGAATTCTCATGACATCGAATGTAAAACCAGTATCGGTATCGAGGGAAGGTATCAATACTACAAGGTTGGTATTAATACAAAAGGACGTAATATCAATACCATCACACACTTTTAGGCAAGAAGCCTAACTTGGTGATAAGGGCTCGGGAAGGGGTCTAGGACCGCCAATATTTCTCTAATAATCTTACAAGTGAGAACAACAAATGAATTCAACAAAAGCTAAGAATCTTATGAAATAAGATAACATAAAACTAGCCCTTATATGACGCTCGGGGAACATCGAGGATACTTGAATTACTTTAGCAAGTATATCAATTGTCTTGTTTGATTAAGATATCTCGATATATCTCAACTAGTTCTAAGGAACTTCAGTTGCTAGTTGGGCACAGATGCCCCGAGTACTCACAATGAGTAAGTTAGCCAAGTGTAGATTCCGATACAAAAATTTTGGAATTAACCCTATGTACCCGAGGGTACTATAGGTAGGATAGAGGGGTGTGAGTCTTTAGATGCATTAAACCCTCAAACCACAACATGATACCTACCTCAGGATGAGTGATTAGGGTACTTGTATGCTTATGTCTTTACATGCTACCATTACCATATGATGAACACATGTAGTATAGTATAGTTATTAGGGTGACATTAAGCTTGTTAGCTCAGTGCTGGAAATTTGTTTATGTGCGCAGGTTTTTAGGAGGATCGTCAAGGATCTTATCACACAACTTGTATTCTAGAGCGTTCGAGGTTCAGAGTGCGTCATGAGTTTATTTTAGAGGGTATGTACTTTTCATAGACCTTCTTATATTCGAGTTATAAATCTCTTTTGAAATACTTGATATGTATTATTTTGAGATGTATTGGGAGCTCCACATTTTTGTGAACTTAAATACTTATGTTTTCATATATGATTTTAAATGTTGGTATCTTAATGAGTATTATGATGTTGTTTTAAAAATATATTTTGAGTTAACCACTTTGATGGTTCCATGTAATGCTTTAATCTCTTAATCCTAGGTCAAATTAGATTACGATATTATAGAAATCTACAAAGGCAATGGTTGCAATGATAACATTAATGATATTATAACTATAACAATGGCAATAAAAAGATTTACAACCGTAACATTAATGATATCAATAACATTAGCAAAAAAACAATAACAATGTTTATAAATGTGAAAAATAATATCAATAATGACACAATTGTACTCTTTCGATATACGAATATACGCTTTTTTTATTTCATAGTCAATAATCCAAAAGCATATAATAGTGGCCAATTGACAACTCTCCAAAAGAGTTATCTTTTTAGTATCTTTTTACCTAATTTAAGCTTGAACTTAAGCATGTTAGGAACATTATTAAGATGATTTTTATTTATTTTACATCATTTGCACTGAGGGATTAAGTTGGTAGACATAAAAATTTTATGTTTATATAACCAAACATGTATTGCCTGAATTTTTTTTTGGTACTTAAGTCTTTGATTCAAACTCTGAATGTATTTTACCTGATTCCTGTTCTGAAATTTACATGACATTATTATGTAAAGTTGACAATTTTGTTTTCTTGGCAGCTAAGCAACCTTACAAGCATATGGTTCTTGGCACTTTTCCTTTCCATCATAGCGACCGGACTGCTTGAACTTCGATGGAGCGGAGTTAGCATCCAAGACTGGTGGCGAAACGAACAATTCTGGGTCATCGGCGGCATCTCCGCCCATCTTTTTTCCATGTTCCAAGGCCTCCTCAAAGTCCTCGCTGGTGTCGACACCAACTTCACCGTAACAGCCAAGGCAGCAGAGGATACGGAATTCGGCGAGCTTTGTCTCTTCAAATGGACCACTCTCTTAATCCCTCCCACAACTCTGATAATAGTGAACATGGTAGAGGTCGTCGCCGGAGTCTCGGATGCAATCAACAACGGCTACGGTTCATGGGGTCCGTTGTTCGGCAAACTGTTTTTTGCTTTCTGGGTCATTTTACATCTCTACCCTTTCCTCAAAGGTTTGATGGGGAGACAAAACAGGACGCCCACCATTGTTGTGCCTTGGTCCGTACTTTTGGCATCCATTTTCTCACTGGTTTGGGTTCGGATCGATCCGTTCTTGCCCAAACAAATTGGCCCGGTCCTCAAACAATGCGGCGTGGAGTGCTGAACCGTGTTTCGATATTTTTTCTATTTTGCCTGTATGCCATATATGATTTGCTGTGATTCTGCAAATCTCTGTCTTGTTTACGTAAGTCTCTTATGCATAATTTCGTTGGTAATACAAGAAAAATGTTGCCTTTAAACGACTCCAAATTCATTTTAAAAATTAATTTTCATTTTTTTTTTTGTAAAAGATGATTATATAAGCAATCAATCTCACCTAACAAATTCAGACTAAAAATTTGTTACTTTATATTAGGCTTAATGCTCAAATAAGTGCCCAAACTATACATTTTGTGTTAAATAAGTGATTTTATTTTTCTGGTTAATCTAGGTGCCTAACATTACAAACGTTAACATTTTAAGTGTACGGGCTGTCAACGGCATTTTTCTCCGTTAAGTGACACGTGTCACAATATAGTAATATAAAATTATTTTTTAAATATATTAAAATATTATTATGGTTATAAAAAAACCTATATTTTCTTATATTATAAAACAACCCCAAAATCCCAAATCCTAACCTTAATCCGCTATCACCGCCCTCTCCATCCACGACCACCGCCGCCGACGTAGTCCTTGCCATCGTCCTAGTTATATGTCGTTGTAGTTGTCACCGATTCATCGTCAAAATTGTGTGGGATCGTGATTTTCATCCTAGGGTTTCCGGGATTTAAAATGTCGATTTGTTGTCGATCAGTCATCAACTTGTCACGATTTCATAGGGTTTTGGTCACCGGGGGTAGGAGAGATCGGGTGGAGCTTCTTCGATGACAAAAGGCGGCGGTCGACGTAAGTTTAGGGGTTGAAATGAAGGTTTTGAAACTTTAAGGGTTATTTCAAATTTTGTGTGTTTTCTTTTTTAAAATATATAATTTTATTTTTTAAAATTTTATATAAAAATTTTTAAAATTACCAAGTTGTGACATGTGTCACTAAACGAAAAAACTAACGCCGTTAATGATCAAGACACCTAAAGTGCTAATGTTTGTAACGTTAGACACCTAGATGAGCTAAAAAATATAGGAACTTACTTAACACAAAAGCTATAGTTTGGGCACATAGTTGGGCATTAAACTATTATATTATACAAAACATTGCTACTTTACAACTAATATCTTCTCCGTAAAAGCAATTACAGATCCTCTCGGTTTCTTATTCAATCACTACAACAAAATAGATTTGTAACGGTGGTTTTAGAGAAAACGCCGTTAATTTTTTTATATATAGCAGTGTTTTTTAGACAAACGCCACGATATCCTAATATATAGTGGCGTTTTTGGGAAATCGCCACTACAAACACATACTTTAGTGGCATTTATGTTACAAACGCCGCTATATCCAAATATATAGTGGCGTTTTTGTGAAAACGCCGCTACAAACGCGTACTTTAGTGGCATTTATGTAAAAAACGTCGTGATATCCAGATATATAGTGGCGTTTTTGTGAAAACACTACTAAAAAATCGTACTTTAGTGGCGTTTATGAAAAAATGCTGCTATAGCCAAATATATAGTGGCGTTTTAGTGTAAATGCCGCTACAAACATGTACTTTAATGGTGTTTGTGTAAAAAATGCCGCTATAAATGCATACTTTAGTGGCGTTTTAGAAAAAACGCTGCTAGAGAATGACAACAGGTGGTGTTTTTAACGGAACGCCGCAATAGAATTGTACAGTAGTAGCGTTTTTCATGCACAGGCCATAATAGGCGAGTAAATAGAGGTGTTTGTTATTAAAACGCCGCAAAAGCGAGTACATTAAAACGTCGCCAAAGGACAAATATATCTCCACTCTCTCTGCTGCCCGATCCCTAAAATCTTTTGAACATCTTCTTCCCTAAAAACTTATTCTCTGGTACAACATCTTCTCCAACTCAGTGCGTCAATCACCATCATCGTGCCAAAAGCCTTATTTATCTCCGCCACACGCCATCCTTCTCGCCGTCATCTCGCCATAATTTCTAATCTCTCGCCTCTTTCTGGTTTTCTCGTCATTTTCACAAGCGACGTCGCATTATGTCTCTCGCGGCAACCAGATCGGGCCTCTCACCGACGAGAGATTGTTACTTTCTTTTCATTTTTCTAAATCTGGGTATTCTAAAAATGACGAAAAAACAAGCCTTCTTCTTGTGCCTACCTTTTGTTGCTTGTTTCCTTTTCCTTCTTTCCTTATTTGACGATCCCGTGGAGTTCGCTATCTAATTTTTGTTTATCAAAGGTAATGCTTAAAAATGTCTATTTTTTATTGTACAGTTAAATTTCCAATCATATAAGCATTATATATGAGTTATTTGTGAAATATAATCTTGCAGATTCCTGATTGGTGTCTTTCTTCTGTTGCTTAGTTAATTATCTTGTGTTTATATTTTCTCTTTTCCATCATTTAATATAAATTTGAAGAATGAAATCTTCTAGAAACCTTAATCCTTCCTTCTTAGTAGCCTCTTTGGTTTTCTCTATATTAGCTGATGCTGAAACCTGTAAGATCATAGCTTAAACTTTGGATAATTATTTCTCCAATTGCTGTAGCCTCATGTTTCCTAGTTATTGATTAGTTTCCATATGCAGACTATATTGTGGAAGAGCAATTGAATGAAGAAAGCTAAATATGTCAATAATCCCCGTGATCATATAGGTATTTAAGTCAATCCTCTTGTGAATGGTTATGGTGAGAGACACTGTAAACCTATAGGAATTTGAGGCAATCATGAACGAGTTCATTTGCAATAGAAGGTTCTACCAACAAAAATAAGGTCCTTCTATTATTACTATCTATATGCATTAATACTCATCACTGAGGAAGCTTTCAAGGATGATAGCAAGTTGAAATTAGTTGTTAGTTTTAGTTGGTGTTATTCTAAGTGGTGAAGTCGATAGAGAAATTCCATGCAAACAGAAGACCAAACAATAGGGCCAAAGGTTAAGAGGTGAAGAGGGGTACAGTATTTTAACTTCATATGATCGTGGCTTTGATTGTGCTAAATAAAAGAAAAACTTCCGGTTTAGCTTGTTAACACAAGACCCCGGGAAAATCAAGTATTTTAGGAAGGGAAAAAATATTTGAGGCCCACATCTTGAATGCTGAACAGAAAGGTGAATAATCTGCTTTGAATAGTCATTCAGTTTACACAAGTGCATGGACAGAAGTGATTCCTGTTCTAGTGGTGGACACAAGGGCCGTCTTTTCAGATGAGTAACCGTGTATGGTATATCACCTTTCCTCAAGTTCTATCAGTCACTCTTGTCAATTGCTTGGGCACCTTTATATACTCCGACAACTATAAGAAGACATTATGAACTAGAAACTGCTAGACTGCTATGCTTGAAGATTGACAAAATATAATTGGGGCGGATCATACTAAGAACCATTGCAAAAGAGATTAAATATTTAACCATTAAACCATACTGTATAATTAGTATACTTTTAATAAAATCAATATTTAACTTAAACAATAATTAAAAGTAAAAACCAAACTAAATTTATTTTAAAATTCAAGCCTTAAACGCACACAGAATCCAAGCCGTAAGCTTACGCTAGTGTTTTAGGTATTTGTCTAATGTCAATGTATTAGTAAATGCACACAAAATCTTTTGTTTAGAAAATTTTACAAACATAGATTAAAGAAAAATTAAGAAAATTCAATTTGTTTTCAGAACAGTGGCTGAAAATGGGGAATCTGAATTTTCACTTTTTATTTGAATTTACCGTTTTATTTTATTATATAAAGTTTTATTTTTAGTTTTATATTTTTTATTTTTCAATTTGAACTTAAAAATACAAACAATGTAGTAAGATTTTATATCTTAATTGATTAATTTATAATATTATAACTTATAACATGTTATCGTTCAATATATTCATTAATAGTAATATTTTCATTATAATTGTTATTTGTTTATTGCAGATATTATGCCCATGAGAAAATTAAGTGATTTGCGGATTATTCGAGCTTCTCAAGATGAGGAAAAAAACAAATAATGAGGAATCGAGTGGTGTTGGATCTTCGGAAGTTCCGGTTACTATTGAAGAAGATGCACAAACTGAAGGTAATGTTCGACACTTTCTTTAATTGTTGGTTGATTTTCAAAACTTACATTGATTTATTTCTTATATAGTTGAAAATGGTCAAAGATGCAAGACTAGAGGACGTACAACGTTGAAGGAATTATACAAACTTTCTTCTGGGAACCGTGTGAAAGTTTCAAGAAACGATGTCGGCGAACCTATTGGCCCAGAAACACATATTCTATTCGGTTACTTAGGTATGGTTGCACGTAATGCTAATATTTTACCGATCAATTATGAGTCATGGCATGAAATGTCAAACAGTAGCAAAAAACAGGCTGTGGATTTTGTTAAGGTAATAATGTCATTATAATAGATAATCCATTACAGTTCAATAGTAATTTATATTTACTTTGAACACTTATGTTATTTGTAGGAGAAAATTTCTTTATAGGTCTCAGACGATTATTTAAAGCAAATGTTAGGGAAGAAATGGATAGACCACACCACAAGAGTTTTTTAAAAAAGAAATATTTCAAGAATCATCTCAGCCTTGAAGAAAAGCTGCAAATTGTCCCGCCTGGAATGCTTAGGTATCAATGGGAAGATGCAGTCAGGTTTTGGAGTTCAAAGAAAAGACAAGTATAATGCATTTTTTAAAAATAATATAATACCATTATAATATGGACTTTATAAATACAAATTTTAAATTGTAGGACCGAGAGCATGTTGGTGTTGCTAGCAGACAACAACAAAAGTTTACTCACACAATTGGATCGAAGAGCTTTGCTTGTATAGCTAATAATGAGGTATTATTGATTATTCATATAGTGATTTATAGTTGGTAGCACATAGTAATGAAAATTATTTATATTATTATTTAATTTTTTACAAGACTTAATTTTTATTCTACATTGTAGGAAAGTACATTTGGTAGTAAAGTTGGACGAATAAAGCTCCTCGATATGACACATACAAAAAATGATGGCACTCCTATGACTA